TCGGTAATCCCTACGGAAATTGCATATTCTAAGCATGTTAAAAATACGCTTTATATCCACATGATATCATCAACATTCTCCGCACTCGCTTTCCCCAGCTAAATATTTTTATAGCATTATCTATAGTTTGATCAAAGTGTTAGTATCGCGTTGCTGAGTCTCAAAATGTCTGAAATTTGAAACTAAGCGATTGAAAGTGACAAAAAGTCCTGTGTTAATGCCTGAAAATGACAATATGTCTGTAACAAGATGAGTATCAAGATTCCTGGCTCCATCAAAGCCATTTTTGTTACTTTTATTTCATGAAAAAGCTTGTTAGCGCAGCTCCATTGAGGCTGAAATATAGAACTCATATATACTATCTAGCCTAATTAAACTAATACGCAACACATAAAGTGATAGATCTCTTGTGGATTATAGGTGCTTGCAGGAAAATTGATATTCAGAGTAATGACTTCTCTAATTTCTGCATTTCAAGAAGAATTTTCATTTTTTTAAATTCTTTTTTTCTTAATTTAACATTTTTATTATTATAATCATTGAATTAATTGACAAATATGTCTGTTCTACATATTCATGATATCTACAGCAGGTCTCAAGCACGGTTATTTATATTAATCAACTCACAAGTAGTAATATTTATTATTTTTCAAAATTATAACTTGATCAGTTTGCAACAAAATCCAAAAAAAAATGTGACGCCTGTTATTCTTCATTGCTATGGTCTGTAATGGAGAGAGGTCTAGCAGGAGTGGGAGCCACGAAAACTCGCTCTGAAACTTACACTCACCATTTCCTTCGAAAAATATGTGAGTTTCACAAAACTGACTCAGCAGTCAATATATTCACTACAGTAGCGTAGTTTTTCTCTCTCGAGTCATTTAAAGTAAACAAATATATCATTCACTTTTTATTTTTTATCTCTCTTATGTTCTTTCTTGAACGACGCAGCGTCGATATGGCTCTTCTCTTAACTTTTACTCACACTCACATTCCATCCAATAAATCTAGATCAGCAACAAAAACCTGTTAGCGTCAATGATGATACACTGCGATGCTAAACCAAGATTAAGACACGCTTTCTGGTTTAATTGGCTTAGGACATTTGCCCGGATAGCAGGAGATGTGGGCTCGAGTCCCACGAAGGTTGTCTTTTTCTTCATTCTCTTCGTTCACTGCATTTCCAATTGTATGAATCATATATGATGCTTACAAACCCGTGTCGCTATTCGACTACGCACAGCAGAGTAATGATATGAGCGATTCTGTTCCACTACGAACTGGATAACCTATGAAGGTAAAAACTTTATGAGTTGAAAATTTCTGCTTTCGTAATTCCATACCCTGACTATATATGATCCGAATTCAATTGAAACTGACTGTACTGTTGTAGAACTAAAACAATTTTATTGTGATTATCGATGTACGTTAAAGTCCCTAAATCACACTGTGTTAGTTATGATTCGCTGAAAGGTACGCAAATGAATTCCAAAGATGCTCGAAAACTTTGATCGATAGTTATTGATGCCTGTCTAAAATTCTCAGGGATACATCTTTTACTATAGACAAACGAAGGTATACAGAATATGAAGATATTGTAATAGATATGGATATCTGAATACACAGCATATTGGCTTCATATTTCTGATAAATTACTAGCATTGATTCGAGCACTGTTACTCTGAAATAGAACAATAAAATCGAAAATTCTCGTTACAAGTATATCATGGAAAGCAAGATTGAAACTTAAACATAGAGTATATTTCAATTTGAACGCAATTTTTCGTTCTTTTAAATATTTAAAAACCATGTTAAAATAAAGCTTGGCTTCTATAGAAGAATCAACTGATATTCATCTATCTATTCAAAAACTATGAGGAGTTTTTGACAATTTTGTAGATTCGGATGAGCGGTTGAAAAAGAGATATCAAGTCTCGTTCTCATCGGATGTGGCTGTGGCTATGAGGATCTGAGTACTGGTGTATGTTGAGTCAAGACTAGCATCCACACCCATGGTTGTGCTTTTGGATGTCTGAGTGTGACTGTGGAATCGGTGCACAGTTGCGATTACGAGTGTTCCCTTCACTGTCATCAACACTGAAGCCGTCACTCCTACACCTACATACATCTAGATGTCCCTGATACACAGATTCTTGATTTCCTCTTTTCTGATTGATTCCTTATCTGTTGTTGCGTTTTAGACTTGATTGTGCTTAGTAGTTGAATTGGAACGAAGTATGCACACTCATTTTCTCTATGTATCACATTACTTTTCTTTTAATAGGCTTCAATACTGGTTTTTCGGAATACACTACGCACTCAGATTAACAATAGGGCTGTCTTAAACAAAACAATTAAAATGGGACTCACTCCAATTGTTTGTATTGTTCAAGATTATATTCAAGGAAGATCTGTGGATGATCTACGATTACGTAAAGCCATACTTGAACTACCTGACAATAAAACCGAACAGCTTCCAGGATATTTACCTCTTGTACCAGGAATGCCAATCTTACTCACAGAAAACATCGCTACTGAGCTCAGACTCTCTAACGATACACGAGGAATCTTCCGTCAACTTGTATAAGATGAATCACCAGAAGATGTTCGATACCACGATCAGAATTTTCCAGCAAATACCAAGTTTATAACGCAACCAAAGTACGCTTTAGTAGAATTTCCTGGTTGCAAACTTGATGAAAAACTTGCTCAACCGTCTTCCAAAATAGTTCCTATAGCTGTTAGTGAACAAACATTTCTGTTTGACGTCAAAGAACTTCTTCCAGAAAATGTAGCATAAGCGACCAAAATAAATAAAAAAACAACAAAACTCACGGTCAAACGTGAAGCACTTCCGCTTATACCGGCATATAGCATGGCAACACATAAAAGTCAAGGTCAAACACTCGGTAAAATTATCGTCGATCTGGTCATGCCGCCTGACCCACCCGAATTAGTCTCGATTTACGTTCCATTATCTCGTGTAAAGAGACTTGACGATTTACTAATCATACGTCCATTTGAATTTACAACACTTCAAGTTAAACTGTCAACGGCCCAAACAGAAGAACTTAAAAGACTAGATAGAATAGTACAAAATACTCGGAAACGTTTTCAATTCATCGCTTAGAACAACAACATCTTAAGAGTGCCGTGATGTTCAGAAGAACCATCTAACTCAAAAAACTATATTGCATGCTCCAAATCTGTTCTTTTTACAATTATAGTCTATTGATCATTTGTACAGCTCACACAAAACTATATTTCGAATAAAAGCCATTAAGATAAAAAATAATGAAAAGAATTTGACCTATGTAAACGAACTGTATTGATAGAAAGTCACTGTCGTTCGTGCATTCAATCGTCATCCTAAACAGCATTTCACAGCTACCCACCACAACAGAAACTATATATGACACACATCGTAAAAGAAAAGTTTCTTAAGTAACGATTTCAGAGAAGATCAGCAATGTCAACCGAATTTTCTTACCAACATCTCCGCTAACAACACTTGCAAGTGCACCATCATGTGACCTCATCGTAACAAACCGACAAACTACACCGAGAACCAGAGGCAACCGAACGACCTTCATTTCATTAAACCAACATCCATAAACAACTAGTACAGTAGCATTCGCCTCTACATATCACTAAAACTTACAGAAAATTCCAAGAATCCTGCTTCAATAGGTTTTCCAACCATACTCAAATCTCAACTTTCATTTTGAAACACATACAAAGCGTGTATGCGTGCAGGATCCAGTGTAGTTGTCGGTGTGGGTATGCATAAGAATACATTTCATTTGATTCCGAATCCAAACATATACTCACACTCCAACCCATCCAAACGTACAGAGTACTCACACCCACACATGTTCACAGCCGCCCACACCCACACACACCACAACTGCACTCCATTCAACCCACACGCACATCATACACCACTCACGCCCACACTCACGTCGATGCACATCCACACTAACCTGAAAACTTTAGATTGGTGCAACTCCCAACTCACAAAATCTCACTGGCGCATAGCCAAACCGTGAAAACCTATGATTGATCCAAATGGTCACTCTCAAAATCTCATTGGCCCATAGCCAAACCGTGAAAACCTACGATTGATTGAAAACATGTTACCTGAAATCTGATTGGCTGGCATGCAGACGAAGCAGACATCTGATTGGTTTGGGGGGGGGGGGGGGGGGTCTATCAAGCAATCTAATAGCTAAGATTAAGTTTTGTTGCAGGATCGATGATGTTATAGGTCAAAAAAACTTTTTTTCGTTCTGTGTGAACGAACGTACGAACGAAGTTACGAACATACGAACCTTGCTCGGCGTATGACCCTCCTTTCAGTAGAGGGAATAAGGATTCCTTTGTAATAAAAAAAAAAGAAGTATGATACATTATGAGAATAGAACTAATCATGATTTAGTCTATCTTTGATAAACATGATCTCTTATTAAACTTTTGACGGACGTAACTATCTTCATCTTTCGTTATAGTTTATTAGTCAAAACAAATATCACGTTTAGTGTCTTTTATGAAGGATGTTTAGGTAACAATCGAATTTTCGACATGCAATAATTAATCAGAATTATTAAATTGATTATTTAGGATTCATCATTAGTCTTAAATATTAATGAAATCAAAAATTTGAATTAACATTTTCAAATTCATGTTAAAAAAAAACAAAATCTAAATATTTTTTTTTCTTCGTAACTTCTTCACTGAACTAAACTCAGATAAAGTCATATTGTTTATTTTCAAAAAAAAAAAAAAGAACAAAATTCCTTTTAAAAAACAAGACGAAGTCATAAGTTTGAAAGCTATCCTCTAATTCATAGTTAGAGTTAAAAAATAAACTAATGTACAAGAAATAAAATTCAATCATTTCATTGTTTATAGAAAGAGTAGTAAAAACTTTTATTTATCTTAGTAGAATTTCTTTTTCTTTTTTTTTTATCTTTATTGAAAACAGGATCTAAATACATAAATCATTTGTATCGAAGAGGTTTCAGTTGAATATTATTCATTGTAAATGTTTTTGATCTTGGATCATGAATTGTTTGTATTTCTGTTCCATTAGTTGGTATTATTTTCGGATATTTTTGTTTTATTTTTAATACTTTTGAAATAGTTGGTGTTAAAACAAGTAATTTCGAAACTTCTTTTAAATAATAATGTATTTGTTTAGGTGTATTATTTGTAAGAGATATATTTTGTAAAAAACAAATAACACGATACCAATAAAGTCTTCTTCCATGTGATTCAACAAGATGATCAAGTTCTTCAAGTATTTCATTACGATCAATTAAATCATTTGTTGAAAGACGTTCTAAAACTAATTGACGAACTTTTGAACGAAGACGTGCTGAATGAATACGAAGACGAGGATCAACACCTGTACATTCACCATGTATTGGAATAATACGACAATTATTTTGATTTAATTCATGTTTTATTATATTATCACTAACAAAAAAATAATTAAAATAAAAATTAATTCGAAAAAAAATAAAAATTTACTTCGATTTCTTTTTTTCGCGATAATCCATATCTTGTTGATGGATATTTGAAGAAGTTGGTGGAACATAATTAGCTGGTTGAGAAACAGGAGTAGATATTGAATTTAATGGTTCATTTAATCCTTTTAATTGATGACTAACTTCATCCATAGTAGCTGGATCTAATTGTGATGGACTATAAGCTTCTTCCTATAATATTTATTGAATTAAATTGAATTAAGAATTAAACAAAATATTTTACTTCTTCTTCTTCTTCTTCTTCTTCTTCTTCATCATCATCTTCATCATCTTTAAGTAATTCTAAAATAGCTTTTGAAGGTTGTCCACTTGATATTAATGTTGATTCTCTAAGTGATGCTTGTGGTTGTCGTATAATTCTTTGTTGTGTTTCAAATGAATTATTATCTGTTGGACTATAAGGTTCATCATCAGATAGATCCGAATCATCGACAAGACCTAAACGTTGCGATAATGATGGACGTGAACGTTTTGTTGGAGATGAATATTCTCCATTTGATGAAAGTGTATGTTTTTTTGTTGAATTCCAATTTGATTCTGTTGATGGATAAACACTCATTTATTTATTTATTTATTTTCTATCAAAATTATATTCGTTTAATCTTCCTCACAATCATATTTTGCGTTCTTTTTGACAATCAATTGTTTTTCCAATTAGAATAAACGATTGTGGCGACATCAAACATATTTATGCATTATGTTTAACCTCTATTCAAATTTTTATATAATAAATATGGTCGATGAACAATGTGTCTTTGTTCGAGCGGTAATTCATTTTTTTTTGTTTGTCTTCTTATTATTAAACAATTTATAACAATAAAATGTCGTTTGTTTCAAAAGATAAAGAAAATAATGAAAATGGTTGGTCATCAGAAGCATTACTTGAATTATCTGATACTGCTCAAGAACAATTACGTACGTTAGAAAGAATTAATTTAACTAATATTCATACAAAATGTCAACAAGAACTTGAATCATGGCATTCATCAGCTACTGCGCATTTAGGTCAAATATATTCACAACGTTTAGCTGATTTAGCTCAAGTTTATACTCAAGATGTTTGTCCTGATGCGGAAAAATTTAAACAAAAAATGATTGAACAACTTAAAAATCGTATTATGCCACGAATAACTAAAATTCTCGATGATCCAACGCCTGATCCAGAAAAAGTAGATAAAATGCAGGTTTGTATATTCATTTATTATGCAACTTTAATCTTTATCAACTTCAATTTTGTTACACTAACATATTTTGAAGATTTAAGATCGTCATATGGACTATAAGAAGAGAATGAACCTTTTCACTCCAATTTTGAAAAATTTACGTCTTTCCCCAACGTTTTGTTCTAGTTTTTGCTTACCAATTATCAAAAATTGTTCGAATCTCTCAATCCTGGCGACCTTGGGGCACCTTTGTCTACAATTTAACTTTCATTTTTTTTGTGTAAAGATATTTGAAAGTACATGTTCTAACAAATTTATTCGATTCTTTGATGAGAACTACTCGAGTTCAAGACTGATCGAACGGGTTACACTCTAAAAAATAACAGCCAACTATGACTTGATTATTGTCTGAGAAATATGTAGAATGTCTTATGAGAGAAAATCCTCAAATGTGGTGTGACGTTTTGAATCGGATCTATAATAGTTAGTAGAGCTTGATGAGACTAGATGAAATCTAACAAAGTTTGTTCCCATACGCTGTTCTTTTCGAGTCATGACCGCGTTACTGAATTTTCGACCTGAAATTGTTCATCGATAAGTCTTATGATGTTCCAAAAATTTCAGGTCAATAGAATGTTTTCTGCAGACATTGGATATCCAAAAGAACGATCATGTGCTGCAAGGAAAGATCAGAAAAACGAATGTCTGCAACGTTCGATATCAAGAGAAAAGCAGTTTTTTTATCTGAAATTTTTAGGATATTCTAAGGACCATAAGACCTATCTATGGGCAAAATCTAGTAAAAAGGTTATAAGCCGATAAGAACAGCGTATGGAGACGAACTCTTTTAGGTTTCGTCTAGTCTCATCAAGCTCTACTAACTGGTATAGATTCGATTCAAAACATCGCATCACAGTTGAGAACGTTCCCTCGTTCGTAATCGAACACAAACAATTCATAAAGTCCTTTCAGCGCGACTGAAGGTTGAGACTAAAAAATTGCTTTAACGTTAGAAGTACAACTGAGGTAGGGATCCGGAAAAGTTTAATCAACTGAGTCCAAATTCAAAAACTTTAGACCCGATGGATTCTACCTTGGATAATCCATTGTAGTCAATTTAATCATCTCTTTTAAATATTGATATTTTTCATAATGAAACATACTAGTCGAATTTGTAGTATTGTGTACAGTGCGTGTAGTCTTTGTATAGATTAAAGATGAACTCTCAAGAAATCAATACTATTAAGAAGACTAGTCTATTTTGATTGCTAGTGGAATATGTTTAGTTTACTTTAGAAAATGTTGAATATTAAATAATGGTTTTAAAGAGTTTTCTTTTTATTATTTCTGTACATGATATGATGTTTTTTATAATTTAGAATTTATTATGTCATATAAAATCTGAATGTAATATGATGCGTGATCGTCAATGGATTCGTGTTCAATTACCTGATATAAAAAGTTTATCGATTCCAATAAAAATAACTAAAACGGCTCCATCAACTCATTTGAGTGAACATGAAAAAGATCTATTTGAAGATTTAAGTGATGATGAAAGTAAAAAAGAAGAATCACCTGTTAAAAAAAAACGTAAAACAAGTTCAATTGATATAATGGATATATTTACTATAAATCCTGAACCAATTAAAAATTATTCATTAGATACAAATTCATCAACATTAACACTTTCAAATACTCATATTCTTCTTCATGATAATCATAAATTAACTTTATTTGATTATCATAGAAAATTAAATGAATTTCAATGGAATGATAATGATTACGGTTTGTTTGTTTGTTTGTTTTTTTGCGAACTTCATATTATGTTTTTCGAAGAAAAATATAGTGAATGTACGTTTTAAGTCAAGATTTCACGGTTTGTTCCATCCCTCCTCACGGTAACCCCAAGGATAACGTACGTCTTACTCGTTTTCCAGAGTTCTTTAGCAATCGAAAAATCTACTCAACAACATTAACAATAAGACTTAGATTGTTCTAGAACATTCTAACGCCTTCTTCGAAAATTCAATGATTACAATGAGTTTGTGAATGTTCTATATAGTGTCACTTTTGATTTTTGCACACATAAAAGTTTATATTGAAGATAATCGACAGTGATGCTTTGATTTATCACAGTCGTCATATGATCATCATAAAAAACATGAACAGATCATGTTATGATTTTCGGAGATAATCAATGTAACTGTTCCTCAGCTCATTGAGATAAATAATACTGTGTTGAGAGCTGGCGTAGATATAAGAAATATGTACAATAGGTTTTTTTTTTGCTAGTTAAATTAATGATTCGAATAATAATAATAATAATGTTAAATTAAGAAAAACGGAATATGAAAAAGATTAAAAACAATCGAATATCAACAAGTAAAGAACAAATTTGAATTCTAGATATTCGCCCTGCAACGGGCAATGCTGACACTATTCGCTTTTTTTTTTATTTAACAAATAATTTATTTTTGTTTTTAAGGTATTCTTGTTGATATGTGTTGGATGTCATCATTATCTGTATTTGTAATATTAACAATTCATTCTGTATATTTATATGATCCAATAAAACCACAACCAAATCTTCCAGTTAAAATAGATGCAATTCAACCATTAGATCGATCACATGTATTATCATCATTAACACCATTTGAACGTGATATATATATAAATTATCATAAAGGTGTACATATAGATCAATATCGTGTATCATTAACATCACAATGGTCATTAGAAAAACGTTATTCAAAATCTGATTGTTGTGAAACAAAAGATATTGGAGTGCGTGATGTTCGATGTGATTCACAATATATGTGTTTATCAATAATGCAACAAGATGATTTAAAATGGAGATTAGATATAATGTCACGTGATATGAAAAGAATAAGACGTGGAATTCCAATGGATGCTGGAGAAAATCAACATAAATTTTTTTCAATGCTTATACCACTTCATGATCAACGATGGTTATTTGTTAATTGGTATACAAACAAACTTTGGATGGTTGATCAACAAGGAAAACCTAAATTAATTAAAGAAAGTAAAATAAGAAATATTCGAAATATTTGTATTGCTCCAAATGGTTCTTATATGGCTATTAGAACTGAAAAACCAACAGCTCTTAAACTTTATAAACTTGATTAAATCTTATTTGTTTTTCTTTTCTCTTGTGAATACTTCCTACCTCTAACAATAATAAAAAATAATACCTCACTTTTCTTTAATTAAGATTTCTTTTTATATGAAATTTATCAATCTATTTTGTTGATATTATTCGAAAAAAAATTCTCAGGTGGAACTGCTTGTGAAAGTTATAATTTTGTCATTGCTTTTTTTGTTTTGATTTAATTCAAGGTATGTAGAGAGCAAAATCCAACAGAAGAATCTCAATCTGAAACTTTGTCTATATGTAGTTTTCGTTCATAACACGAACACTCTTAAAGTTTCTACGGAAAATAAAATGTTTTCCTCTTTAGATATTGATTATCAAAAAATCATCTTATAACCTAATAGAATGCGAAGAAATTAAATTTCTTAACAATTCAACATCATGAGATAGATAAATTTGTTTTCAGTGAGATATGTTTTGTTTTAGTGACAAATGACAACGGCGACTATATATAAGCAAAATTTAAGATCGTAGTTCAGTTGTTTGATTTTTTTAAACATATTTGGACTTAACTTGACATATTATTATAATGATTATAACCTACAACGAACGTTTTATGAATCCAAATCTATTTAGAATTTCTCCAAGACTAATTTTCTCAACATATAGAAAAAACCTCTTTGCAAGCAATGTGAATTATCATACAATAAAAGAATTAATTCATTCAAGTGATAAACATTGTCAATCATGAAGAGATCGGGGACAAGTATTTCCTTCTAATTGCCTTCATATTCTTTCGAATCTTGATAAATATGCAACCATAGGACTCATTTTATGCATCACATCAGCAGCTACAAAAATGATATACTTTATTTTTTGAACAACAAATTCTATCAAATAAAAAAACAAAACGCTAAAAAAAAATTTGTTTATATTGAGATATTTTGTAGTCGCTCATACGAGGCATAAAATGAGTTGTATGATTGCAAATCTATCAAAGATTGTAAGAATATTAGAGCTATCACAAGAAAGCACTTGCAATTATCGTTAGATTTTTTTAAAGTGCCAATCACCATTTTTTGAATAACTTTCGATGAGTTCCAGCTATCGAAGTCGGATTTTCACCATTAGATCGAGCAATGCTGAGTAGAACATTCATTGCGTTTGATGAAGTTTTTCATAAGATATTTACAGATCAACATTTTTTTCGTTGCTCTTTTTTACAAGTTTTCGTACCAACCTATGTTCAAATTACACCAAAGTATAGCCAGAAGAATATTATAA